TTATCCCCCCCAGCAGCGGAGCGTGCAAAACCAGCGCTGGTCTGTGGGAGCCAGGTACTGCAGCTGCTGGAGCCAACGCAGAACCAGGCAGGCCGTAGAGCAGCGCTCACCTATGAGAGTCACACTCGATCTGTCCTGCTTCTGAGACTATTTCTGTCTCTCAAAACTGCTGTCTCACCTCCCTGTAATAAACAGAACATCTCGTTTTGTTGCCATTGTTTCAGCTGTGCTGCTAGCAGGGAGCTTTTTCAATTAGATAAAAATAGATAAGTTGAAAATAGTCTGCACGTTGCTTTCTTTCCACAATCACGGAGACCTTTTCCCACAACAGAATTTTTGCTAGGAGCTCATTTTCCAATCTAAGACAACTCCACGATTTCCCCTCCCAAATAGCATTAGCAAATGAGCAACAATAACTTTCTCCCAGACAACAGCCAGGAACTTTCTGAATTTGTAGTTTAGCAACCCAACTGACGGGTCTGGGGGTGATGTTTGGAGAAGATCTGCTCTGGCCAACTGCTAAACGCATCCTGGGGAGCAGCACAAAGAGCCTGTTGAGTGCAAGCCAGAAAAGAAATGCTAAGAACATGATGGCACAGAGTATATGCGAAGAGCAACCCAATTTACGGATTGAAAAGTCCTGCTTATCCCCTAATCTGTACACAGAGCTATAAAACACAGGCAGAGCACCAGTGAAAAAAATAACGTTTATAGCCAAATTCCTCCTGTCCTTCCGAAGATGATGACTGGGCATAGGGGTGGATGGACAGAGCTCCTGATGGGAGTGAGCAGGGAGGGGTGGGCACTGTGGGCTGTGTTAGTTCCCACCCCTGCTTCATCCCCATCAACTCTGATCCTGACAGCATTCCCCTCTTCCCTTCCTTTTCTTTTCCTTTCCTTCCCTTTGTTTTCTTGGCACCTTTTAGGCATAATTTCAACCCTCAAGGCTGTGGGTATACAAGACACACTCCACCACACTCCTGCAAAATGCTCAACAGGTGATGCATGACTGTACTGGGCCCTTATGAAGCAGAAACGTAAATCTGATACACGAAATCATCTTTTTAACAGCTGTGCTCTCAAACAACAGTATTCTGAGCCAGCAGGAATCCTAACCCAGAACCAGCGCCTCTGTACACACAAATCGATAATTTTCTGGTTGCATTTATTTTTTTTTTCCACAGCATTTGCCCACTTGCCCAACCCTCACCGTTTGTTCTTCTTATGCTTTACGGTTAATCATATTTTCTCATTACCTGTGCATCACCATGGCTGGAATGGTGCCAGGTTTTGGATGGAGGAGAAAAACAACGCTGATAGCAGCGGCTGTTGCAGTTGCTGCAGAGCAGTGCTTGCACAGAGCCAAGGACTTCTCAGCTCCTCGTGCTGCCCTGCCAGCGAGCGGGGGGGGCACAGCCAGGATACAGCTGGCCCAAGGGACACCCCGTGCCATAGGGCGCCCTGGGGAACAATAAAACTGGGGGGAGGATGGTGCTGCTCAGGTACTGCTGGCTGAGCACCAGTCAGCAAGCAGTGAGCACAACTGCATTCCGCATCACTCGTTTTGTGTGTTTTATTCTAATTTCCCTTCCTTTTCTGTCCTGTTAAACTGTCCTTATCTCAACCCACGTGTTTTACCTTTTTTTCTGATCCCTTCCCCAATCCCACGAGAGGTGAGGAGGTGTGAGCAAAGGGCTGGGTGGTGCTGAGCTGCCTGCCAGGTTAAACCACATCAGTCCTTTTGGCACCCCAAGACAGAGCATGAAGGGTTGGGTTAATGATAGATCTGACCAGAGCATGTCAGAGAGAACAAACTTGCCTGCTGTATTTGTTTAATAGTTGCTGTGATGTTGCTTTTTTTGCTCTCATTGTTGGATGAGTTTTGAGAGTTGTGTTACATGACCCCTTACTTGCTTCGTATGCTCCCTGCTTTGCTTTTATCATCTTTGGGGACAGGTTTAGGGTTGCTTTTAGTTTTATCACTGCTGTGCTGTGTGACACTGGTTTATAATATGATCAATGCACCGGTTGTGAGCCTAATCTGGTATTTGTACTCAGCACTGTCGTCATCTCTGTACTTTGGGAACTCTCTCTTGGGAGCTATTACCAATTACACCCTGTACCTTTCCTCCTCAGAGAGTCAATCTGTGGGAAAGACAAGGGAGGACACTTTCCCCTGCTCCTTCACCTTCCCCCGCTTCATCATCCTCCTCTCCTCCAGGCTCATTACCATAGCTCTCGAGAATTTTGGATGTTCCAAGCAGCACAATCCTATTGCCATGTATCCTGGATGCGATCCTGGTTTTGTCTAAAATCGAACATATTTAAGAATACCACCCAGAGGTCTGCAGGATGAATCTGGGTGGCGAGGTGTGTGGAAAGATAGAGGCAGGCATCTATCACTGTTGGCACCTCCAGTAGTTCTGTACTTCACCCCCGATCAAGTGCAGAATCCTTAAAAAACTGAGAGAATTAATAAAAAAAAACATTATGCCTTGATCCTGGCAATGCCAGAGGCCTCCAGCTTGCTGCACTGTCCTGGAGTCTGACACGTGCCTATCAAACAGTAACAGACACCAGTAACACCCTCACGAGGAGGAGCTCACCCCTGGATGACGAGCTCACCACCTCTGGTGACGGACCCCGAGGCTGAGGCAGTGCCAGGCCCCCTGTGCAGAAGAAACAGTGAATGCAAAAGTCAGCTCGCTTAGTAAGGAATACAGGAAATACAGGAAAATACAGGAAACCTTCAGAATAATTACCCAAAGCAGCAAGCAAGGCTGGGGGGAAGAAAAAAAAAAAACAACAGGGGTTTGAATTGTATTTGCATTGGTAGAGAATTCAGAAAGACCTCAAAAAGAAAGGATTTTGAAAAAAAAAAAAAAAAAGATTCTCTTGCCTGTAACCTGACATGAAAACTTCAGGTCACAGCTGCAAAAATCCAGATACCACGGTTAATTTTATTCACTTTTACAGAAACTTTTCTCCTTCCAACATCTGTTGATAGTTTCCGAAGATCTCTCAGAGCCCACAGATTTTCCATGGAAAATGGAAAGGACTGAAGAGGGAGGTATCTATGCATTTCTGTTGGGCGTTCAGCAGAAAAGTGATTAATAGCATAGATGTCAAGTTATTACTGTTGGATTTCAGAAATTTGCAGTTGCTTGCAACATGTAAAAGAGAAAGATGAACAGCAAGCTTGCACAGTGAGGAACAAACCTGCTGGTATAGTCACAAGCAGAAGGGAAACAATGTTCTTCTTCCAGAAAAGAAAAGCCAATTCCTCAAGTCTGAGGTAGTATTTTTCTTTTCAGCATCCTTCAAGTCTGCATTTTCTTTTCCTTGCCCATCACCCTAGCTGACCAAGCTTCCCTGTCCAACAAGCCCCACACTGACACAAACTGGGGATTTCAGGGTACAGTGTGTATGACCAGAGGATACAATACATGACCAGAAATTTCACAGACAAGAACTTATAATGCTGCTTCTTCACGCTTCTTTATACCATTTAAGGTTATAATAAATACACTGCTTTAAATCCTCTCTGACCAAAAGCTTCCATTAAAAAGCAGTTAGGCCCACTGATTTTCTTCACAGTAGTTAGTTCAGCACAACTGAGCCAGGTGACCTCAGAGGAAGCTTATTCCACCCCCCTTGCAGCAAACCAGGGAACTACGCCTGTTTTCATTCCACTGATTACAAAAGTGACCTTGCTCAAGTCACTAAAGTCTTCAAGTTCCAACTCCTTGTCTGCACAAGGGAGATAGTGTTTACTTGGCAAGAGAAATAATGGCTTTATAACACACTTACAAGGATATCAGTATATTTTAGTCCACTTGACCAGAAAACGACCCCTTTACAGTTCTCCCAGGATCTCCAGTGATGTTTCAAGACTCTTTTTCTTGTTTTGGGCTGGAAGATGTGTTGCATCTTTACTGATGAAGAGACCTGCAATAGCTTAGATTATTTAAAGGTGTATGACTCACAATACAGCAGATGTGGAGAGAAGCAAGCCAGCTGTACCAGCGTGGTCCAGTACCAGTGTGGTTAGCTCCCCAGTTCTTCTTCAACTCATTAAAACAGGGATTTTATTCTGCTCCACACAGTCTGTGACTGCCAAATAAAAATCTAGTTCCCACACCTTCACCAGTTCCATACAGCCAAGTTTTAACTCATAGAGGAAATCATGGAGAAACAGCTGTGTGCAGCCAAATACTCCACGCAGTCCCAAGGCAAAGCTACCACCTTGCTCTGTTACAAAATCCATCCCTAAGCTGCTTGCTTACAATAAGCAGAAGCACATAACCTTTTTCTGCCTCTGAACATGTGACTACACTTCAAACACAGCAGTCTGGCAAACAGTAATATGCATACAACACATACAGAGGACTATATCTGGTTTTGAACATACACTGGGGAAAGTTTTTTTTTTCCTTTTATTATTGGTGTTTTAAATCTAAAAACTGCTCTTAGACAGAAGACTTTTCATGTGCCAGTGACGTTCCTCCACAAGTAAATTGAAGTCCACACCTCGAGATATTTCAGCCAAATATTAGTCACTGTAACCAATGCCTTTACATTTTCATGAAGACACCCAAAATACACCTATAAAGCATCTGTACTCACCAGGACACCAGGAGACCTCCCATGACAGCTCTGAACAGTGATTTACTTCTTCATTAACATAATCTTTTTGATCCAAATACAACGAAGTCAAATTTTGTATTTAACATACTAGAACACAGTACCAGCTCAAGGCCATACTGTATTTTTTTTTTTTTTTAAAAGGCAACAGTTCTTTAAAAAGGACAATAAAGGTATTTGACCCAGGAAAGCATACATGTAAAAACAAAAGCATTGTTCTTTAGCTATTTCAGTGTGCCCAACAGCATGCCACTGGAAGAAGGCATCTAACACTTCTCCAAAAAGTTTTACTTCCAAGTAGAAGGCTATTTGCTAGAGAGGAAAAAAAAAAGAAACAAAACCAAAGAATACAACAATAATGTTACAAGAGGCACTGATCCTGGCTTTATTCACTTAAAGATACATCCAACATTTGTTATAGCTCACTTGAAATTCAAAATGCTTTTAAGAAACCAACTATAAAACTTTGATTTTTGCCTTGTAGTGCTGTCAAGTTTTCAAATAGCAAGTGACTTCCCAGAAAAACTGTGCTGTGTGTTAACATACATACAAAGATTAAAACTTGGTAGAAACCTTTGTTTCTGTTATTTGATGAATCATGTTCAAAATGACCACCATTTTCTCTGGGGAGGACGCTACTCTGCTTACCTGCAGGGATGGATGTCAGCACTCCTGAGCTATTGCACCTTATCCTAACCCTGCACTGTTTCAAGGAGTGGTTAAACGACAGTTGACTTCTATTCCTCCCCATTACAGTACTCATAAGGGATTTCACTCCCCATTTGTATCTTCACACTTGGCAGCTGTAACAATTTTTTTTTCAGCACTAAAAAACTAGTCAGGACAGCACTATGCACGTCCCCTAGAGATTACAGATACTGACTGCTAGCAGAGATAAGTACGTTTTATAATCAAAAGATGTCAATGCGTTAATTTGGAATACAAACTACTTGGCAGTATCTTCTGTTAAATTCAAGATATATATAACTGTGTTGCAGCCATCATATAACAATGTTTCCTACAATCTTTTTTGCTGCATTTAGATATTTTTTTTAAAGTGGTAAAGAGTGCAGGACTTAAGAAATATAAACATTTTTCTATTAGAAACTGCAAAATTTAGTACTATGACACTATGAAAGCTTACAATACAGCAATTGTGTTATCAATCCCGTGTTAAGATTCAGCATCAATATGGTGTCTGAACTAGCTCAAAGCTTTATTCTGCCTTATAAAGCAGCATCAACCTGTCTTGATGTCACTTTCTGTGCAAAATGTGTTCCCATACTAATGCAGCTATAAAAGCACAAGCAGTTCTCATGTTGGAGTATCATCCTTGTTTTGTGAATGGTTTCTCTGTTTAATAATAGCCTACCTAGAAATCAGCCATCTCACAAAGGCAAAATAACCTTAAACTTCTATCTGAGTATAGTTCAGTGACATGATCTGAAAGGACAACACACCAACCATTCCCATCAACTGTTTAAATAGGAAACTGAAGGAAAAATCCAAATCGAAGACACTCACTGTTACAGTATCTTTAATTTATCTTGTGTTTTACAGAAGTCTGAATGGATTAAAAAGCACCTCCTTTCCCATCACGTTCTTTATAGTTGGTAAAATATATTCAATGAGCAAATGTATGTGAACAGCTTGAGGATCTGCATCTTGCAAGGATTTCACAGACCAATCAATCAAAAGCCAAATTTCTTGTAGTTTTTACAATCTTGTTTTAATACAATGGTAAATCCATTCCGATTGTAAACCTGTCCAGTCATATCTCCCCAGAACACTTTGCAAAATCCAGTGTTGATTAGCAAACTAGTTAGCTTTGGCACGGAGCTGTGCTCTCTTGCCTGTGACAGCCTGGAAACCAGTTTTGATGCTGGCGACGGAGCAGCGAGAGTGGCAGGTCTCACACTGCAAGAAATATAATCTGGTGTCCTTCTGTAGGATTGTGTCTGGTGACCGACACGTATGACAGGTGACATATTCCTCTGCAAGAAAGGAATTAAGTTGCAATTAAAAAAAATGCATTACCATCAGAAAAAAAAATCACTTCTTCAGCCTTTAGTTTAACAGTTGTCTTGAAAGGATGTTCAAATTCATCTACTGACTTAGAAGTGGCTTACTATGAAAGTCACAGAGGTTCATATAGATTAAAAATACTTCCTTGTTCCTAAATTAACAAAGAGTAGGTTTTGTACATCTGGTACATTGTGCCCTGACACCAGTGTTTTAAGAAGTAATAACTAGCTAAGGCTTCCCACTGGCTTTCCATGACTTACTCTGCTGAAAAAGCATTCCCACATGTCAGCAACTCTTACACAGACAACACTGTCTGAAACAGCATTTTGTTGCATATTAACTGCAAGCACAGTCTGTTAACTAACACGTACAACAGACTTTAAGAGTAATAATTACCATTATTTTCCATAGTCCTCATTAAAACTAAGAAGTTAATGTCAGATGAAAACAGTTTTCAACCACTCTTACTGTCTTCCTCGGCACATCTCTGCACCAGGACAGAGTATGCCCTAAGTGCTCACTATACGGTATAACCATATAGTTATGTATTCTTCCTATCTATTCTTACGTATATGTATCCTTCACTTGCATTACTCCATCACAAAACAGCAAAGTCATAGTTTGTTAGCACAGAACCTCTACAGCATGCACACATGCAGAGGGGCATGCTGGCCCACACACGGGCCTCTGGTCATTAGAAAAATGTGTAGCGGAAAGTGGAGTTATACTTACTGATATATCTTCTCAAGACATTTTCTATCTGTTTTTGCTGGAATCTTCCTTTGATTACAAGTTGGTTGTTACCATCTATTGAGCCACTAATTTAAAAGAAAAATGAAATTTGAAATAATTGATTTGCAGAAGACATCAAATAAAAAAAGTATACGAAGTCAGCAACTTGAAGCAAGTTAACTGAGGCATTCTTTAAGGTAAGAGCAAGCCAGAATTACATTGCGGGGAAAAAGAGAAATATGTAAAATTCTGACAGCAGTTGAAAACCTGTACAAAGTTTTGCCCAAATATAACTCATTACAATAAAAGCACACTCCAGCAGAGATCAGCCTCATAGTTAAGCTGTCCTACCAGGAGAAATGTACAGAATTGAGAACAACCATCTGTTTGTCTCAAAGAAATGACCAAGACAACTCTACTAAGGTAGAATACTACTGCAATCCTTTTCTAGCCATTCTGATGTAATAAATTAGATGTTTTTTCAGACCACAGTTTCTAAGTTTTTGTTTAAGTTATCTGAAGCCGAAGAGATCTCAATGTCTAGAGTAAAAGGCATTTGTTATAACCACATTGCAATTAGATAGCTTGATTCTGTACATCTATGTATAACATTATTTTACTATCTTTGAGACAGAAATAAAGACAACCAGAGTACATTGTCACAGAGTAAGATCTTTTATCAAAAGCATTTAAAAGCAACAAAGCAGCTTTTATGCTAAGACAACTGGATTTAACTGTGGCATTAAACAGAATAACTAGCTACATGCCCTCAAAACTTCCCCAAGGCAGGCAGGCATTCTCTCTTCCTCAGCAATCCTACGGCTTAAGTCGAACAGGAGCCAAATAGCCATCCTCACCAATTAGACAAACAGCACTGCTATCAGATCATTTTTGGAGAAAGATCCCAGACAAGGAATTTGAAGAGCTATCCAAACTGTTCCCTGGGACTTATAGCTTGCCTCTGTACCTCTTCTGTGAAATGGTGTCTCTTCAATCACCCAGCACAGCATCTGGGTGCAGGGAAGAAGAGCCTGATGTTCAATGGCAACTATGTTGTCATTGGTTCCTACAAATATGCACACCCACAGCCCAATAGCCTTACCTTGTACCCAATTCTGCCAACAAAAACGCCAGGAGATGTTTTGGCTGACGATGTAATCTAAAAATAAAGTATGGATATCTTTAACCTCCCTCCTTCAGAGAAATTTGATATCTATACAGGGATGGTAGGTTAAAATGATCTTAAAGTACAAAGTTTGAAAGGGCAGTGCCATAGGGTCTGTACCAAAGAGCACATGCAGACAATGAACTAAGGACACAAAGCTTCACAGTCTACAAAACAGAAAGCACAATTTCAGTAATTACTCCCTAATTAAAATGAGAGAATTGTATTTCAGATTTTCCACTCTTAACCCTCACCACACTCCCAGTGCCCTTCGTTTAGTATATTACCCAGGTCCTCCATATGATTGTGCCAGAAAAGTCCTTGCTTACAAAATCAGATAGACATTCCTAGAAGTGCCCACAAATAATAGAACTGACTTCACAAGAAATATTCAGATAGAGAAAGCATAGGGGGAAAAAAAAAATACTGAACTCCATGCTATTTACCAAGAGAACAGTATTTGAAGTTCACCTGAAGATCAGAATTCACCCCTACCATCCATCCCAACCCAAGTCTTGCAAATAAACACCACTGAATACCAAACCACACACACTTCTAGAAGTGAGAGCACTCAAAAGAGCTTTAGGTTTGGTTTCAGTCCCTGAGGCCCATGAAACAAACCTACCATTTTGGTATGTACAAAGTTTGAAGTTGTCTCAATAAATCACCTTCATAAATACCTTTCACATATATAATAGAGGAAAAGAACAGTATGATTGGAACAGCTTTCACTTTGGTTTGTCACTGTTGTTTTTTTGTTGTTGTTTGTTGTTTTTTTTTTGTGGTTTCCAAAAAGCATTCATTCAACAGCCAACAGCACAGAAAATTCCACTATTCCTGGGAAATATTAGGAGTAAAACTTACAATTTGCAGATATCTGTAAAGTTGACAAAAGATGTTTTCTTGGTCCCTACTCTTACGACCTGTGGAGGCTTCATGACAAATTTCCGTTTTTCTCCAGCTACCATATCTGGGTTTTTTTCCCGCATGATGTTAAATACCCTATTGAGTAACTGCAAAAAAAAAAAAAAAGGGGGGGAGGTGGTTCACATCATTTGAGACATGTAAGACATTCATAAGACATTCATGCTGAAGTACACTGTTAATGCTACCTCAGATATTTAGAGGCAATGAATATTAGATAGTCTTTGTCTATTAACACTTCCCCATAAGCTTTTCAATGCACACTTTAAAAAAAAAGTTGTACTAAATAGAGAAGATAGAAGCTGTTTTCACAGAGGTTTACTTTATAATGTCCAAGTACCTCAGTGTGCTTGCAGAGGCATTTTAATATTGCTTTATGTGAAAACTAACTATGACAACAGATGTGCTTTCTGTTATTTTTCTGATCATGTGCTTCTGAATGTAAGATCTTTAGTTTTAAGTAGGAAATGGGATACACAAACACAAGGCTCTGCACTGCCAGAGCACTTTAACATGTAAAATACTTCGAAAGCCTTTTAACATTACCTCATCATACGTGTAGTCCCTTTCTGAGCCTGCCCACGCAGGTCCTGACTGAAGACTAAAAGAAATTCCATCATCTTTTTTGCTGTCTTCATCTTCAAAAGCTGTAAAAAAGTTGTTTAGGATTCATTAAGAAAAACAAGTATTTCTTTAACCTTGTGTGTACATTTCTAAAAAGTGCATCGAAAGATTTTACTAAGACAGGGACAGAAGTGTTCGCTGTTTGTCTGCCTAGAAGAGACACCAGCACTTACGGTGAATTCATACAGCACTTCTACAGAAGATTTTTTTTTGTTGATAATCGTGACTGGTAAAAGTAACAAAATTAATTTTGAAACCAAAAGATACTTCAACAGAACTTATTCACCTATAACATGGACTACATAAAATTTCCAACATCTCCCAGGCTACATTATACTTTTACCTTCATCCTTCTCCATTATCTCATCTTCATCTGGAAACTTCACATACTTTTTCTTCTTCTTCTTATTGCCCAGCATGATATCAAGGTCATCTTCAGGTTCTACTACCTCTGGTACATCTCCCTCAATTTTTAAGTCCTACAAACAAATATATATAATTTACAGTATTAAACAGATCTCTATACCAGTTGCACACTATACTAGACGAACACTAGTATTATCCACTAAGAACCTGAAACGTAGTAAGTAAGAACAGAAACTGTAATATGCTGAATAAAGAACTGCAGTACAACACATGAAAAAGGGACAGATTTTTAAATGTCAAGTTGAGATACAATGGGGTACATGCACCTAACATGTAACAGTGCAGTCAGGTATTAAAACTTAGTCTACATTACTTCCTTTGTAATACTTGGTTTCCTATTAGGTAATCAACACAATCTTCTAGTTAACTTTGGCTGGTCAAGAACAAGGTCACGCTATACTTAGCTAAAGGAATCAGCCACATTTGGGCACTAGGGAACAAAACACCTTATGTGTCAGACACTGACATAAGGCAAAGCTGTGACACCTGCAGCCAGTTCAATTTGGTGTCACAATTCCTTCATGGATGCAGGTATGTTTCTGCACTTACAGAAAACATAGCAACCATTTTGGCCTGTCCAGGACAGATAAGAGGAGCATTTTCTTCCTCAAAAGGCAGAATCTAAGAATAGCTTTACATGTAGCGTAACATTTCTCTGCCCTCTTGCTGTCTGGGCTTCCCAGTTACGCTGACATGTGATCCAGAATTATGACTTGGAATAAAACTTGAGTAAACATATCTTGTACACCTACTGAAATACATAACAGTAGCCAATCATTTCTAATGAAAACACGAGAGTAAGAACAGATTTCTTAGCAGATATATACCCTTTATTTGAAGGGTTGGCTTGTAGAGGACTGTTTTGTGCATGGCTTCTGACATCATTTTCTTCTCTCACCCCAGAAGACAGTTACCTTGATGCTAATCAACCCTTATTACTGACTGCGGAATTACTTGCTTATTGTGCATATCAGTTAATTTTTTCTCATTTCCAGGCAAAAAGCCCTTACATACAAACATACTCAGCAGAACCTACTATACATGAAGGATACTGTGAAACAAGTTTCACTATTAACTGCACCAGGATATAATCACAGAATCACACAGAATCACAGAATTTCTAGGTTGGAAGAGACCTCAAGATCATTGAGTCCAACCTCTAACCTAACACTAACAGTCCCCACTAAACCATATCCCTAAGCTCTACATCTAAACGTCTATGGCAGACTCAAAACAGTTCCTGCAACATCAATCTCAAGAAAAGAAAAGCAGGAAAGTTACTTGACAATAGACAAAATGGCCTTGTTATGTAAACAGACCTTTACGCCTTCTTCCGCTTCATCTATATCAAATATCTTCTTTGGCTTCTTCTTCTTTTTCTTTTGATTGAAGAAGTTTAAATCATCCAAGTCATCTGTTGCATCTAAAAAACAAAGGATAAGCAAAAGTAGTCCAGATATTAGTAACTGTAATAAGAGTTCAGATAGTAAGGTTTCCAACGCACATCCAGTGCCTTCAAAACATTACAGCAAGACATAAGCAATGATCTGTAGCCCTTACAGATATCCTTCCGGTTTTCAACAGATCATTCCCCTCTACCCCGATACCTCAGCACTATTTTACAGTTTCTGTATCTTGTACTTTTATCTGCATTTTCTTATTTTTCCCTGTTTAATCTTTCTTTGTGCTGTGCAAGAAATTAGATGCTTCTGCAATTATTGTAGAAATGCTCAAAAAAAAAAAAGTGAATAGAAAACTGCAAGAGTTAAGTTTATTTTCTTTGGTCTACAGCAGGAGCCAGTTTTATCAAAAAAGGATTTAATTCAACAGCATTCCCTTAATCAGGTCATCCTGAAATGGCATTGGCCTCAATCTAAAAAGCAAAACCATATATATACACACACACACACTCAGAAACATATTTCCAAATAGATTCTGAGTAGCAGCCTAGTTGCATTCACACTTGTCCAAAAAAATAGAAACACTTTTAACCATATTTCTGTAATTCACACTACAGCTTAATTGTTGAAGTGCAATAATGCCAGAATTGTGCAATTATTGCAACAACTGCATGTGGAAGATTTTAAGCTTCATGATAACTATTTTTGAGCTCCTCTTTTCACTGTCACACACAAGAGATTCTGTCTGAGTCAGGAAAGCAGAATTTGCATAAGCCACTAGTCACTTGCTCTATGTTTGTGAATGGGGCTTTAGGCAATACAAGCAAAATACGCTTTTCAAATAGGCAGAGTATCTTAAACTAGATCTAAACAAGATCTTAAACTAGGAGTCCAGCACCATACATTATGATGGCACACTCCTGAAAGGAGGCTTCTATCAAAATACAGAACTACCCTTCAGAGTTCATCTACGTAGATTCATTTTACCTTTCTTCCTGCTGTCTTCTTCATCTGCTTCAACATCTTTGTCTTCTGTTGGCTCTGGTTCAACTTCTTTTGTTTCTGACTGCTGAGTCTCTTCTGTTTGTGTATCCCCTCCTTCCTCATCCAACATAAACGGCTTCTTCTTTTTCTTCTTCTTCTTGCTCATAGTAGGATCAAAAATCATCTGTAAAAGTCAAGAGTTCATCAGCAGCGTAATTACCACCCGCCATTTAACATTTTTAACACCTTTAAGTTTCTCTCCACATTCTTTCTGTTAACCAAACAGAAGGAATGTTAACCAGGCTTTCAGCTCAGCCTGGGATTTTTCTTGATCTGTGGCAAAGCAATACAAGAGAACTGACTCCAAAACAGTGAGCCTCAGTGTTATCACCACTGGTTTTGTTCCAAGGCACAACTAAGGAGACCAGTTACAAGGAAAGAAAAAGTTACAATGATGCTCGACAGTTTCAAACTTCTGCCACTTTTCTCACAACAGTTATGCTTTCTTCAAGTTTCCTACTATCTATGTAGGAGTTCAGCTGAAAGAATAATAAGGCTGTGAATCTTTAACGAAGTAGCTACTTCCCTGTGTTATTACCATTTTGGACTCCTACACTGAAGGCAGACCACGAAGAAATCACTGTACCATTCAGCATCACAAAAACAAAGAGTAAGAACATGCTATCACGCAGAACACGTTAATTTCCAGATGTATTAAAAGGGCAAGTCTTACCAAAAGCCGTCTCAACAAAAACGCTTAGGACTAGGAGAAACTCAGAAGGGCCTGGTGATACAGCCAGGCTGGTGTCAGCTCCTAGCACTATGAAGCAGCAGAGGTCTCATCTCAAAGCTGTTTGATTCTTTAACTAAGAAAGCACCTTAATTCAGCTGGAATGTCCACGAGGAAAGCACTAACCCCAAGAATGTACTTTTAATCTATTCTTTACCTAACTACCGGAGACAATCAACACAAGTTCTTCAAGTCTTCCAACACAGGATTGCCTCCTGCTACTTTTCTTTAAGATGCAAGTTTGACATCTTACCTACCCATCAGTTTTGTTACATCTGGCCAGTTTTTCTGCACTATAGTGTATACTTACTGCTTCAAACAATTTTAGATGCTTAAGAAAAACTGGAGAATCTTACTTTCTAATAGCTGAAAAGCATTCTTTCAGGTAGTTACAAGTCCTGAGTAAGAGGTTTTTATTACGCTGACAACAGAACCATTTCAAAGGAGCAACTCTGTAACTTCTTGTTTGGTTACACCCTCCAAGTTTCTCTGTCCATAAAGCATTCTTTTCCTCACACTTCTCATTCTCCTGCATGTGATAATCTTGTGATACTCTGATTTTATGGAGCTTATATGTTTCATAAAAGCTCTGAACTGAGGCTGAGGGGCAGCACAAAGCACTTAATGATGCTGTGATTCAAACACCCAGAAGTGGCTACATGTATGTGACAATGTAGCTTGAGACATTCAAAATGAAGTGTGCCTTTAGCTGTGCATGCTGTGCTAGAATGGCTCTCAAGAAAGTTCTGCATGGCTGGCTTCCCTCTCAATGCACATGTATGAATCATGCTCTGGAAAGGCACAGCAAGGAATGTTCACAACCGGTTACGCTGTTTGCTAGGCTTCCTCTTGTAACCTCTGGATTCTGCTGAAACAGAAGGAAAACCTGTCTGCATAGGCAAGGGCCTACAGCTTGGGAACACTCAGATGAACACCCTGTTTCAGGATCACTGACCCATTTCCATGATGACACTTTCTTTACAAGGCTCCTCAGACTTCTATACCTTCTTCTATGAAGAAGCAACATAAGATAACGTTTTAGCATTGAGTGCAATAATTGCTAAGAAACCACTCCATGTACCCCATATCACCCCTCTCTTTATAAGAACAGCTTTCAACCCAAACTGCCATAAAGTGTATCTTGTGTCTACAAGAGACAAGGTCTCCAGTAGTACACTGAGCTGAGTTTAACAAGCAAGGGCAACTTCTGGACTCTGCAGGTAATTTTAAGGCTGAAAAAACAAAGCAATTGGCCTTCTGCAGAGCCTGGCTCTGACAGCCTGCTCGACTCTAAAGAGATGCCACCTAAACCCAAGCAGGGCAAGCCATGCTTCTGCAAACCCTGACCTCGTCGTAACAGGCTAACTGCTCTGAGGAAACTGAATAGAGAAGTCAGGCAAGCTGAGAAGGTATTCACCTGAGTTATTTTGCTCACCTAGAGCTTCAGTAAAAACAACAGAGCATTCTTGGGTCATGCACAGTTTAACTGAACAACCACATAACCAGGCTATTCTGTGTTTTGCCAGAAACACCACCAGAGCCCATGCCTTTTACTATACAGAAATGAATATAAACTTCCATCCTGTTTCTGCTCGCAACATCAGATTCCCATGAGGTGATCCTGTGATTTCCCCTTCTGTAAGCCACAGTTCTTTCTCACATCCAACTCCATGCATCCATTCCTTATTTCAAAGGTCTATACAGTCAAAATCCCAACTTGCAAAATTCAAGCAAGTGAAAGACAATGGAAAAAAAAAAAAAAGGAAGTTGGTCTGTGAAGCTCTAATCCTAAAACAAAAGCCCATGTCACCCTATACACGGTGTATACCCTACTGCAGTGGCAACTGCTGGGGATTTTACTAGAGGTTCTATTAATCCCATCTCATTAGTTTGAATAAACACAGGCATGTCTACAAAGCACAGAGCAACACCAGCACTGAAAAAGTTAGTTCTGTACTGCCCTCTGTGATAGATAACTTTGTTCTATCAATCAGCACCTAAATCCCCCTTGCTGCTCAAAACGCAGCTATCTTCCAGTATTATTTCCTTGGAGCTTCATAAAGCCACTGGGCCAGGAAAAAACAACAACAACAAAAAACCACACAACTTTCATTTATCGTTAAGTAGGATTTTATATCTTATTAAAAACCCTACTACATATAAATAGAGGTTAATGGACTGCTCATCACTTTCAGGTTTGCCTTTTGCCTTTCTCCTCCCTTGGAGGCAGGCCTCATGTTGCCTGGGTTGTACCATGCTGCTGGGCAGCACTCAGACTGGAGATGTTGCTACCAGAAAGCTTCATTTTGTTTAAAGTTCTGGAAGTTTTAAGCCACAGTCCAGAGCCCATATTTTGAAGAACACTGTGCAGGTGAATCAAACTAAGGTTTCTAACACCTAGACTAGGTTTTAAGGTGCAGATTTGTCAACTGAGATTTATGTGCCTTCAACTTCGAGGATCGTGAACTGTAAAAAGAGCCATCACTTGTAAAGCTCCACATCAGCTCCTAACAGCCAGCAGCTGCAGAAGGCACATGCACTCACTCCCACACATTATTCAGAAGACCTAACAGTGACAGTTCAACCATCATACCTTTTACTACCTTCATTCTGTCAGTCTGATAAACAAAGCAAACCAGAGATGTAACTTTACTACACTAGATTCCTGATCCCAGGTGAGTATCAGAACAAATGCATCATGCAGTATAAATAATTTAAATGACACAAACTAAATCTAAACCAGTAAGTTGTAGGCTAGCTGCTCTATGGTCTTATGGGCATCTGAGATAGAAAGCAGCTGAAGCAAGGGTCCTAATTTCCTAACCTAGACATTAGAACTGCAGTTGCAGGCACACAATTAGGCCTAAAAATGCAGCACATTCATTCCAAGCAGCTTAATAAACCAGCCTCAGCTACCATTAAAGTAATAAGTACACTAGTTGTTGTTTACTATGTATGACTCACCTGTCACCAAGGTTAGCGTGACTGGGCTCTGCTCATATGGAGGAGAGCCACAGAGGCATTTTAAGTGACACCAGAAAAAAGATAAAAGCCCAAGAGCAGCCATGCCATGGATTCTGCCAGCACAGCTCCCAACAGTCACCCCTCAGGGTGCCCATAACCTCAGGCAGGGAGAGCTCTCTGTCTCCCCAGGAGAACACCTGAAATGAGGTTACTAAAGGTAGAGCACACAAACCCTACATCATCTGAAAAACCCCTCAGAGACTGGCACGTCCACTTCCCTAAGCGTGTACATAAGGAACCACCATAGCTGGACAGCTTTCAGTTATCAACCGTCGAGAAGCAGCTTTCAGGTCAGAAGACGAGATACTCGAGCCCCAAAAGCAGCCGAGCCTCCAGGCCACGCGCTAGACACCGCTCCAGGAGCCCGGCACGGGGGCAGGCAGGGGGGGGCCGCCTGCCTTCCCCCCGGCCCTCCCCCTACCGCCGGGCCAGGCCGGGCCTCCCCTCAGGACCGGAGCCCCCCCCGCCTCCACGGGCCTGGGCGCGGCAGGGAGAGGCCCGGCAGGGCCCGAAGCCAGGCGGCGGCCCCCGGCCCGGTTCCCCGCCTTCCAGAGGCGGCCGCGGGCCCCCCCCCAAATCCGGGGCCGGCAGGTGAGGGGGAGGGGGGGGGCGAGGCGCCGGCCGTGCGGCGGGGCGGAGGCCTGAGGCCCGCTCTCCCACATGGCGGCCGAGGCGCAGGCCTCGGGCCCGGCTCCCCCATCCCCCGACGGCGGCGGCGACCGCCGGGCCTCACCTCGTCGCCCGACATGGCTGCGGCCGGCAGCGGGAGGCGGCGGAGGAGAAAGAGGAGAGGAGAGGCCGGGAGCGAGGAGCTGCGGGGCTCAGGGACGCGGCCGGCCCTCGCCTGCGACCGCCGCGCTCGCCTCTTGCATCAGCGCTCCCCTCCCCCGCAGCGCCGCGCATGCGCACCCCGCCGCGGCGCCGGGCGGGAGCCGCCGGGATGCTGCTGCGCATGCGCGGCCGGCACGGCTCCCCCCCAGTTTGCCCCCCCCAGTCCCAACCCTGAGGCACTCACTGGGGGGACTGGGGGTACTGGGACCGCCCCGCCTCCAGCCTCTGCCCTTCCCCAGGCGCTTGCACGCCCCGCTGAGATCCCCCTCAGTCAGTTCCTCAGACCCTTCAGGTCGTCAGTCCCATGCTGCAGTGCTAAGGCAGAGCCTTCAGCCAAACCTTTGCCACAGGGGTTTTACATTTCAGTATTTGCAGGCCATTTACATTTCTGGAGCCCCATAGCTTCTTAGTATGTCCTGTAAACTTAAACTATATTTTTTACATTAGCTGGAGATTATGCACAGTACATCATTTAACTTTTTAATCAGCTGCAAGAAAAGACTGGCCATTTTGTCTATCTTTGGTCTTCCTTTTGTCTACCTTTCTTGCTCGCCTTTGTTCAAAATGATGGCACCCAGCCTGTTCTGTGCGCAAAGCCATCAGTCTGGAGGTACTGTGAGGACAGGATCAGTTTTAGCTTTTCCCAGCATAACTAAAATATGTTTGCTAAAAAAAGCCAAATTTAATACTACTTTTCTCTCCTGATTCCATACCAACACCTTCCTCTGGGAATTCAGACCGTTTGTGTCTTTGTCACTTGCTGTTATGTGACAGGGATACCGTGGGTATCTTATCACGAGACAGGATAGCTATAGTTTATGTCACCCCACATAGTATTTGTCTAAGCTGTTGTTAAAAACCACCATGGACAGAGGTTCTCTGCAGCCTGCTCAAGTGCCCGATAAATTTCATCGTTGTTGCTACCACTTAATCCAATGCCAGGTGTAATGTCCCACAAGGACACAGAGGGTCACTGTTGGTGGTGTGTCAACCCACGGTACTTTGGAATAGTGCTGTGCCTTTTCCTGTCCTGTCCCCAGTGTCTTCTCTTTCAAAATGTGCAAAATCCAGCCCCTCCAGCCTTTTTCAGAGGTCTTTTCTTTCTCTTCTGATTTTCTTTGCTCTGTTCTGTGTCTTGCTAACATACGTGTTTCTTAAGTGCAATGCCCAATCCTGGGCACAGCACTTGCATCTGATGCCTTGGCAAATCCAAATAGAGCAGCATAATTACCCTTGATGCCCCATCCATAACAGGTTTCTTAATAGATCCCAGAGTAAGGTTCACATTTTTCTTTGTCAGCAACACTTGATGAGCGATTACAACCCTGAGAGTTCCACCAGTTGGGCTGTCTAATGAGTAAAACATGATGCTTTGTACATGCAGAATACATACTATTTGGGAAACGCCAGAGGAAAAGCTAGTGGCAGCTGCTAGAAGTGCTGTGCTGGAGTTGCGTCCCGATCTTCAGCTAGAAACCAAAGGAAGGCTGAGATGCTCCTGTCTTTGAAGCTCCTGGCTGCAGACACTGCAACATCAAAAGCATGTCTCGGAGATCCCCTTACATTGATTTTTTTCTTCTACGCTGAAATACTATTCAGGATGCAGTGCTTTTCTCTTCTGTTCTTTTCTTTGCTCTCCTTGTGAATTAAAAAAGTTCCAGAAAATTAAGACTACATTATCTATAATTAGTAGTTACCAACATCAGCAGTCATCCAAGAACACCTGGAGCTAGTGTATTTGATCTGATACTAGGGAAAAACAATCCTGTGTGAGTTTTGATAAGAAGAGCACACTGCTGGGTTCAACCACACTGTGTGGTTGCAGAACCACACAGATAAAAATATTTTTTTTTCTTATTTTCTTGAGGAGTTTTGAATAAGTCAGTTTTTACTGAGTCTGCTAATAGCACTTAATTCTGTTCTCAGTAAATAAATTCACTTTAAAATGCTGATTCTAAAGATGGCCATAGAGTGAATGTTGTTAACCACTGGGCTAAAACACTCCGACACACATTTAACCACTGCCCTTCACATAAGATATCTCTAAGATAGGATGGTAGCCCTATTTCCACCCAAAAGAGAGAGCCACAAGGGTTTACTTGGATTTCAGATACTCTGTTACACAACAGTGCTGTGAAACAGGGAGAAGGAAGCCTGGAGAAAACAGGTCTATGCCCTTAGGAGAAGCCCAGAGAATGGATGACGTAGGTTGAAAGAAACTAGTCTTGGAAAAAGAAGGCTTTCTAGCAAAGCCCCACAAAGAGGACCAGAGATCAGAGGGGGCAGGGACCCCTCCCACCATCCCAGGCTGCCCCCAGCCCCATCCAGCCTGGCCTTGGGCACTGGAGGGATGGGGCAGCCCCAGCTTCTCTATGCAGCCTGGGCCAGGGTCTCGCCACCTCCAGAGTAAGGAATTTTCCTCCTTACATATAATCTGAACCTACCTTCTCTTAGTTCAAAGCCATTACCCCTTGTACTATCATTACACACCTTGACTTTTATCCACCCAGCATCTGAAATCCAATCTTCAAACCCAACTTTCAAACCTACCCTCTTTGTCACAATACTTAGAAAAACATAGCAGTGCTTAGGCTGCTGGTGTGCTAGATTCACGGTCATTATTTACTTCACAATCTCTTCTCTGTTTCTTGTCCTTTTCTTGTACTCAGTTCTTAAGTAATGATAAAATAGGTTCTATACTTGTGTTATTTTAAAGTAAATTGTTGACCAGTGTTTTGGTGGAAATTAACTTCCAGAGCATATTTCGGTTGTTTATGAGGCAGTGGAACGTGCCATAATTAGCCATAATAAACTCTTATCTTTTACTCCAAAAATGACTCTACATTGTTGCCAACTGGAGCAAAGAGCAGAATCAGTCTCAAACAACTAAACAGTGAAGGGAATGTTATGTTGGACTACAATTGTATGAGAATGCAAGCAAAGTCAGAGCTTTGAACCTCTTGGCAAAATTTTAAGCAGTGGGTTTAGATCAAATAGTCACTTTTGGACAATTTCAGGCAGAGACAGAGGCAGCATACAACAGAGGGTGAAAGTTACTGTCCAAAGTTTAATGTCATGGTAACTGACAGACTCAGCGGAACAATAAGCCAAAGGCTGGGGGTCTTAAAGAGGGGTAACACTACTTGCACAATCAATTACCATTAATGCAATTCTGTTTGCAAGAATATACGTCTGCTGTCTGGAATCCAGGAGATGGTCAAGCTACAGGGATAGTTTCCTGCCAGTCCATCCTTGCCCTGCTTTTCCGTTTCAAAACCTTGCTGTACACAGGGCAGTTCCAACAACCAGAAATTATAAAAAAAAAAAAAAAAAAAAAAAAAAAAAAAAAAAAGTTAGGTCCTTTTCCTGAGAGCCATTCTCACATGACCAGTGGATTTATTTACTCCCTTTTCTGCCTAGAGCAATTGCATGTTAAGGTACACCTTGCAGGTATTTCTGGCCATCATCCTCTAGTAGATGTCTTCTCAGTTTTCCCCCGCCTATACTCTGGAAGGGACCTGGTCCTGAGGGCTGAAGCCCTTAAGGCCTTGGTGAAAGTGTTTTCCCATGGGAAAGGTACTGCTCCTAAAGCAGAGCTTAACCCTGGAACTTGGGATTTCAATTACATGCTATTCAAGATCCAGACGGGTTGTTTCTCACTTCTCCATTGTGGTGGTCCTTGTGGTAGCTGTCAGCTGTCTCTGCAGGGAAGAGTAACAGAGATTAAGGTGACTATCACCCCCACTTGTACCATTTGCTTTCTGGATTGGGCTGTTCTCTGAATCATTTCCAATATCCAGTCCAAATCACTCATGGGCCAGAAAATATGACTGTTTCCTTCCCCCAGCCTCATACCCCAAGGGCTGGGAAATACCCTCTGACAATGAACAGCAAATACTCATCTTTCTTGCTGCGGATAGTCTGCTTGGTTGTTTGTATCATTAACTGAGAGATCAAACAAAATAATGATCTCCACACATAGATTTAATAACAGGATGCATCAAGATTTATCATGAGATAGACAGGACTGATCAGCCTCAAGTAACTGGAGCACATGTGCTGGAGTGCAAGCTACATCACTCGTCTCACAAAAATGTGTCTCCTGCAGAGCTGGGAAACCCCATTCATCCATCAGCCTGTCCCCACTCCCGGGGACAACATGTGCTCAGCCGAGCATCTGCAGGAGGAAAGGGTACTCCTGGGAGCCACCTGCCCCGAGCACAGGCAAGCAAAGAGGAAAAGCCTCTTACTTACCAGTGCTATTGGATTTCAAGATTTGTTCATGTGCACATTCATCTCTCACTGTCTTTTGCACCTTTCATCCTTGCATCCTTTGGGATTCTGCAGCTATGAAGAGCTGTGAAACACGTGGTGAGTATGGAAGAGCAAGGCAAAAGCACAACAAGGGGGTAACAGCGAGGTCTCTGGCTCTGTCGTCATAGCTCAGCCTGCCACAGAAATGCCCCCACTGTGAAGCTTCTTTGGAACGAATTGCTCTGTTATGTTATGTCCATGGAAATCCAGGGCTGTTGAGCCTCATGGAGCTGACAGATTGATGCTTTCCGCTGAGGCAGGTGAGAGCCCAGCTGCGCCCTGGGAGTGCCCCCCAGCGAGGGCTGCTGGCCGCGATGGCACTCCTCTCCACTGAGTCACTGTCAGAGTCACAGAATGGTTTGGGTTGGAAGCAACCTTAAAGACCATCCTGTTCTACCTCCCCTGCCATGGGCAGGGACCTGTCCTGCAAGCCCAGGCTGCCCCCAGGCCCCCCAGCCTGGCCTGGGGCACCCCCAGGGATGGGGCACCCACAGCTTCTTGGGGCAGCCAGGGCCTCACCACCCTCAGAGTACAGAATTTCTTCCTTACATCTAATCTGAGCCTGCCCTCTTCTAGTTAAAAGCCTTGTCCTATCACTACACCCCTGACAAAGAGACCCTCCCCAGCTTTCCCCCTTCAAGTGCTGACAGGCTGCTGTGAGGTCTCCGTGGAGCCTTCTCTTCTCCAGGCTGAACAACCCCAACTCCCTTGGCCTGTCTTTGTAGGAGAGGTGCTCCAGCCATCAGATCATCCTCTTGGCCC